TAGGGATGTTGTGGTTACACAACTTCTAGCGCCTCTTCAAGGTACTGCAGAGCACCAGATTATGTACTCTTAGCTAGACTTGTCTCATGGTACCGGTCGCAGCCCGGCACTTTGCTGCATTGCAAAGGTGGAGACCACTGTGGGATCTATTATGGGGGACCCCCTCTTGGAGACACCCAAATTGGGATCCATAAGTTTGCCAACCGCACAAACCTCCAGAAAAAAACGAGCAAAAGCATCGGAAATCGGTCAAGCGCACCTTGATGAAAGTGTCGCCCAAGGTCCTTGAGGCAGAGGCCCTAAATCTTAAACCCTAAACCACGGCTAGAGGCTAAATTTGGGGTTAGATCTGGGAAGTTGAATTTCGGGATAGGCGTTCCACAGGTGCAAAAACCCGTGGCCTTGGTCCTGTCTGCAGTGCCCTCACTGGGTCACAGGAGTTTTGGAAGTCACCTAGCAGGTCTACATGCATCATCTGCACATACTTTGCCCGATCCCTGCGGAGGCCTTTGATCCCTTGTAGCCTAGGCCAAAACCCCTAAACCCAGAGACGTGAACCCTATTCATGCCCCAACCGCAACCCCTCTGAAACTCCAGACCTAGGCCTTGGGGGCTCGGGAGTAAGGTCTAGGGTTTGGGGGTAGGGTTTAGGGTTGAATATCTGGAAAGAAAGGAAACTACGATGGCAACTGTCTGGTCACTTCTTTATGTTGTTCCTCCCTTCCAGCTAGAGCTCCCAGGCCAGAACCCCAGCATCTCTGCATTACAAGTCCTTGACATACGAGTGCTTGCAAGGTAAAGCCCTATCCGGGGGCTCCCATGTAGTTCGTTTTTGCCTACCTCTGGGTAGCATGGAATGAAGGAATGGAAGAGAAAAGGAAGCTGCTTCTTTCATTCCTTGCTTCCGAGAGGTAAGGTTTTGTATGTTCTTGAATTCGGTGCAGAAGTATAGTGTACCACGCCACAGGAAAGAAACTCAATATCATCACGAAAGTACATTCTGAGCACTTGTTTTGTCAAGCCCGCTGAACCCCAAGCCCTCCACCCGTAAACCGCGAACCCTACACCCCTAAACCCCACACCCTAAACCCTTATATAATCCTAGAATCTTAAACCCTCAACCCCGAAATCCTTAACCCTACACCCCGAACCCCACACCCTGTACCCTACTTATGTAATCCTATAATCCTAAACCATCAAATCCTTAACCCTACACCCCACACCCTAAACCCACAATCCCCAGTCCTCGAGATTGAGGAGGTTGCAAAGTAGCCCAGCACAGAGAGGACAACATTCACGGCCAGTGAGGCCTGTCTCTACACTCTGAAGCCCTAAGCCCCATAAGGGTTTAGGGATTTAGGGATTTAGGGTTAAAGGTTTTGGGTTGAGGTTTTAGGATTCTAGGGTTTCAGGTGTTAGGATTTTAGGGTTCAGGGTTGAGGGTTTAGGGAACCCTGAACATAAGATTCCAAATCAGAAGCCCAATCATCTGGATACTGCCCCCCGCCCCACGCAATATGAATCATCTTCGGGGACCATTAGTTCGTTAGGAACAATTTGGGTCCTGCCCCCGACCATTAACAGTCTATAATATATAGGGTCATATTGAGGCCTCTATTTATGCTATACTTATTATCCAACTGTTAATGAGTGGGGCCGGTGCCAAGGCATAATAATGATGCATCTGCAATACTGTAGTTTAGGTTGGGGGCAGCACTCTACCTGCAACCTCTACTGTGGTTGAAAGAAAGATGGCACCACCCTGTATACCCTAAACCTTCAACCCTAAATTCCCAAATCCTAAATTCTCATTTACTAAAACCTAAAACCCTAAATGTTGAACCCTAACTTCCTGAACCGTAAATCCAAAACCCCCAATTCATCCTAAACCCTAAGCCGTAAACCCAAAATACATCCTAAACCCTAAGCCCTAAATCCTAAACCCTAAGTCCGAACCTTGAGATTCCATGGCAGATACGTAGCCACACCGGCCAACGCAGCCACTGCCACAGCAGAAAGAGCCCCTGAGATGTTCTGTAGGGCCTGATATGGCGGAAGGCTTATGGGTATGTATAGAGGGTTTTAGGGGGTTTAGGATTTAAGGTTTGGGGGTTTAAGGGTTTAGGGGTTTAAGGGGTTTAAGGGGTTTAAGGGTTAGGGGTTTAAGGGTTTCGGGGTTTACGGTTTATGAACTAAGGTGTCACGGTTCAGGGCTTCGTGTTTATAGGGTTCAGGTCTAGGGGTTGGGGGCTTGGTTGCGGTCCAGCGTTTTTATGGTTTCACGCTTTTTGGAGTTCCTTCCAACAGGAAGACGTGTTGGTGCGCATGAAAAAGCGATAGATGGCAGGTAACTAGGGGGTGTGGGCCCTACATGAATAGATTAATTGAGATCCCGTGATGCTTCTCATCGGCTCCTGTTCCTCCTGGGATATTATTCAGTTTTGATGCATGCCTATTTCTCGACCTCATAATATGATCCCCAAGCAAGTACCTAAAACCCGGTTTAGGAACTCCAATATAGCCTTTATGTGCGGCCTGGTGGGAACGAGACAATTGATGAATAAAAGTCCTTCAAGACTATAAGCACGCAGCAACACACTTTCTAGGATTTAGCTGCAAAGGCGGGCCATGAAGGATTTTATCCATCAACTTCTGCACCATAGTATCACATTTCCTGAGATTTAAAAAATGAAGTGCAGAACTATGATTCTTCAGCGAAATCTGAGTGAAGGGACTTTCGATTTTGGGCGGTAGCCAGTTTTTCATAATCGTTCTGCCTTGGGGCTAGTAAAGTTGCTACAAGCTTTGTTTACCCTGCGCTGCCATATCTACAAGCTCGGAAGCAAGAATATGAATTGGGTTTAGGGTTTAGGGTTTAGGGTTTAAGGGTTTATTGGTAGGTAAAACCATGATGTCCACCACGCACACCCCAACACTGACAACGCCAAGACCATTATTCCCTGAACCCTAAACCCTACAGCCTAAATCCTAAAGCCCAAATCCTAAATCCTAAACCGCCCTAAACCCTAAACCCTAAACCCTAAAACCCTAAACCCTAAACCCCTTCTCTTTCAACACCTAAATCCTAAACCGCCCTAAACCCTAAAGCCTTGCTTTGGGGGTCCAGGTAGAGCTGGTTCTGCTCTGCTCTATAAGGTTGGAGCCTGGGGGGTCGCTTCCAGATTCTAATTTTGAAAGCACCATTTCCTGAGAGGAGAGAAATCCACAATTCCACTAATGGAGGCCTCATGTGCTTGAAAAAGGACGTGGCAAAAATGAAGAAGGACCCTGCCAAAATGAAAAACCCTGATGTGTCGTCAAAAACTGCATGGAACTGCCACCCCGCTCTCTGTCTCCCTTCTCGCCTTCCGACTGTCTTCCTCAGATACCATGGGTCCTAAACTCGCAACGCGGGCGCATCAAAGCATTCTTGAGCCAGCGCCACAGGAGCCATGCACCCGCCCCTTAATAATAAGTCCCAGTCTCCATGTCATTTCTCTTCAATTTTCAAACTCCTAAACGCTCAACTTACTTGCGGTTACAACCCCTATATATACAGTATTAGTATACTCCCTTATTCCTTACTAACCCCAGGAAGAAAACCCTAGTCTTTAGTCTGGAGTATGTCAGGCTTCAGGCCTAAACCCTAAACCCTAAACCCCTAAACCCTATTGAGGGGCTCCTGGCTCGAGGGTCGAAGCGTTGCTAATCAATATTTGCCAACTTCATGCGTCAGGCAGTTCCCATGATAGTAACAGGGTTACCATAATATAGGGGTTATATAGGGATAGTGGAAGATGAAATGGAAACTGCTGTTTGGGGTTTAGGGTTTAAGGTTGCTGTTAAGTTATAAGTTAAGTTATCATAACGGGTATATATAGAAATTAATATGGTTTCCCCAATATAGTAACTTAATTTAACTTCCTTAACAGCAGCCCAGTATTTGCCAACTTCATTCTTCAGGCAATTGCCCTTTACAGTAACAAGGCTCAGGGCCTAGGGCCCCTTCACTGTGATTGTTACCACGATGGGTAATAAGAGTTGTAATCGCGCCTTTACGAAACCGCCTTTAAGGACAGTCACTGTAAAGTGAAATGACCCCATGTATGCCGGGCCAATGTTAAGAATGTTCATGCGCTATAATCTACACTCCTAGTTGCCCCCTGAAGAATCGCTATACCACTTAACACTCCCCTATATAATGGAGTCTGGACTATCTGACTATCGTGCATGTTAACTGGGAAGAGGGGAAAGGATCCGCACCAAAAAACCTTCCAGCTCCTGATGTGAAGTGTAGTTGCTGCACAGTCACGATTCTCCGCACGAGAACGAGCTCGCAAATTCCAGCACTCCATACATACAGAACCGCAACACATGTGACTCTGAACCCAATCCCTGGCGATCTAAGTCTCTTGAAGATTCTTCGGCCATCTTTGGGGACCAAATTCTGTCGAATCATGCCCTAAACTCTAAACCCAAAATGCCTGCTTTGATTTCCAAGGAATATGCCTGCCAAGAGAGGCTAGGTGTAGATATCGTACCCAAAGGGGGGCCCAAAGGGATGACCTTTAAGTACACCCAGCCTCTCTCCGGGTAATACCAAACTGAACCTCGACCCCCCCTGACCTGACACTAATCTGGGTTGCTGTTAAGGAACTTCGTTTAAGTTACTATAGGGGTATAATATAGGCTTTAAGGCTTCGGGTTTAAGTTACTAAAGGGGTATAATATAGGGTTTAGGGCTTAGGGTTTAGGGTTACTATGTTGGGTAAACCTTATATCTACATATATCTACCATATATACCCATTATGGTAACCTAATTTAAGATCCTTAACAGCATCCCCAGTAGTCCTCAACCTGAAAATGAAGATTCCGAGATAAAAGCTGTGGATGCAGTGCCCCGACTGACAATGAAATGCTTCCAAAACAATGCAAACTCTCAAGTTACTTCCACGGTATAGTAGAGCATTATACGATGAGCCCAACAAATCCAAAGAGCTGGTGAAGGTGGAGGGGAACGATTCCTTGATGAAGTCGATGCCGCGCTCCTGGATCCAAACCGCCCAAAGTAGGTGCTATTGATAAGCTCTGGTCACAACCTAAGTAGTGTTTTTGTTAGGTCCCAGGCAGGCTTAGGGTTTCCTACTCTTGAGAGGATGATGTGTCCCTTGAATTCCCTTGAATGACGTGAAGGGTCTGCATAGGTAGGACCCCGTCCTAGACCTTCAGCCGTCTATCCTACACCATCAAGGTGGGCATTTTGAGGACTCCCTTCATACTAAAAATAAAAACCGCCCACCTCTGATTTAGATATTCCCCGCAAAAAATGTCATGTGCTAACTAGCGGCCATATCTACTGTGAGGAGTGGGGGTGTTTAATATTGGCACCCAGGGATGATAAGGCTCCTTAACACTTCGGATCTGAGATGATGGCTTCTTTGCAAATTTGCGAAAAGAATGGCACATGCTAGGCTATGCACATGGGGGCATGAGGGCATGTGGCGGCGTCAGAAGAGTGCAATTAGAGGCCACTAAACCCTAAACCCTAAACCCTAAACCACCACAATGGTTTTCAACAATAAGCGAGCTAAAAGCCGTCCATACTCCTTGCTCTTACCTCGCCTGCACGCCGCGGCTTCAAAATTTGGGTGCGAAGCCTCAAGTTTAGGCTTTAGGGTGTAGGGTCTCAAGTGAATTGTCCCATTCGTTTCCCTGGGTAGAAGAAGGATCTCGTCTGCAGATACAGAGGGAGCCCATACCCCCAAATGAGAATACAGAATCCCTTAGGCGGACCCCCCACCCTGTAATAGTCGTATAAAGGGAATATACGAGGACCCTAATATAATCCCTATTATCCCTTACAGTCACTATTACAGGGTGGGGGGTCCTCCTAAAGAATCCCGAACATGGACCCGGCATTCAGAGATTGGAGCTTTTAGCTTTTCCCCGACTGACAAACTACCACCTGCACCTCAGTGCTGTAGAGTAATGTTTAGGTTTTAGGTTTATGGTAATCATCCAAAAGCCACCCCAAAAAATTGTGGCGCTATGAATCTGTAAGCTTGCGGGGTTCAGGTACACCCTGGAGAGACAATCATCCTCATATCTTGCCTACATTGCTACATATTGTAGTTTTTCCAAAAGAAGGGAACCCCAATATAGACCCCAAATACTGTACTCCTTGTCATAGGGACCCCAAAAAGGAACCCTAATTTTGGGAAGCCCACATATATCGATATCGTCCCTATGAGCTCGTCCTCCATCAGGATCACCAGGATGAGGCACCCCAGCACTGTCCCTGTGATTGGCTGATGGCTGTGGGCTGAGATTTAAGTCTTATGAATTCGTTTGAGGATTTAGGGTTTAGGGTTCAAGGCTCTAGGGCATTCAGGTATTTAGGGCATTCGAGCGTGAACCCCCAAAGTATGTTATTCACGAATATGTAGGGAATTGGGGGAATATGGGGAGATGTGGGGAGATGTAGGCTTTTGGGTTTTGCTTGAACCACCAAAGTAGAATACTAGCTTCTTTGGCAAGTATTGAGGGTTTGTGGTCGTTGTTCTGCCTGTTGTTGAGATCTGAGTTGCTTTTAACGCCTTAGGGCTAGTGGCTCCACGGCAACTCTTGTCCGAAGACCCTTGCAGCTTCGTCAGGCATCAACTGGGGACTCGCAGAGTGCTGAAGCTGTAGGGTTTAGGGCTTAGGGATTAGGCGAGCTTCACTTAAGATGCACCTGCACTGACTGAACTCTGCTGGAGTACACGTTCACTTTGACGGCTATGTCCACATCGAACATACGCCTAGAGACCAGACCTTTCCTAGTTCTTCCCTAGAAGATCTGAGAAGGAATCAAAAACTAGCCCAGGTACTCCTACGATCCGTCTCACAAGCACTACTTGGAGGGTCGTTCGTTTTTGTCAGTATACTTTAAGTAGACCCCCCACCCCATAATAGGGACTGCCTGCTATACCACTAGTTCAGAGTTGGGGAGTCCACCTACCATATACTTACTAACACCCATAACCCTAAACCCCAAACCCTAAATTGGCCCTAAATCAATCTCATTCCAATTCTCCCAATTATTCACCTACTTACTAAGGTCCACTGGCACAAACCCCTTAATCCAGAATAACAGAGCAGCTTGGAGCTTCTTTCTCATTTGGGGTTTAAGGTTTAGGGTTCAGGGTTTAGGGTCGTCTCCCACAATTAGGGTCATTTTTTGGGGGGTCCCAATAATCAGGACTATAGTCGTTCGGTTTCTATATTAAGGTCCCGTCCCGCAGACCTTCCAAGTAGTCCTGCTTACTAAGGTCCCCTGACCCTCCGTCATTGACAGGTAAGTAGTGTACGGGTGGGTGGCTTCCATAAAGCTCCCATAAGGATTATCATAAAACACCCATAGCTGGCCCATATCATGACTTATAGTGGAAGACCTATGGGAGACCACCCGCCTGTAAACTACACACCTGCCAGTGTGATACTAGACCTCGACCCTAAAACTCTAAAGTATACAAGATGACTATTCGAGAGATCCAGCTTAGCCATTTTGCTTCGTAATCCTTTCTCCCTACCCGTACGCTCCCCACCTAGAACGAAACAAAAGCCAATCCCGCAAATCCCCCAGTATAGAGCCAATGTATGTTCTGGGGAAGGAGTTACTTCAGTGTCCATGCTGATCCGCAGCCTCCAGCAACCCCGATGAATCTGCAGACCCCAAGCCCAGAAACATGATGGAGTTCACATGTTTGGGGCTTATGCAACACGCTAGCTGCGGCCTACAGCGTTGGCAATCGCGGTGTACAGCCATCTCTTCCTAAGCACGAAGCCATGGTTGCTGGTCGAAGGGTTTTTGGCTTACGTGTTGATGGGATGGCTTCTGGCTGTCGAACCCTAAACCCTAAACCCCTAAACCCTAAGCCCCTAAACCCTAAACCCCTAACCCCTAAACCCCTAAGCCCTGAACCCTAAACCTGTGAGAAGCAGACAGCTATGAGCTACTGGTTACCAGCTTTGGAGTCCCGGGCTTGTTGGCAATTGATATAAAATGGAAAATGCCATAATCTATTGGAATTATATTGGGGTAATATGGGGTGAAAATAAAATGGAAAGTACTATAGTATCAGTTCGCTCGAAAAATCTCAGCCCCGTGCTTGTTTTGAGGGTGTCGGAGCAGGCCACTCTCAGACCCCCATGTACGAACCCTCCCAAAAAAATCATCCGCAGAAACCGTTTGTCACTTCCATTTCTTTGCTACCCGGAAAGAATCTGTGGCGCGTCTGTTATGGGCGAAGACTTTTGTGGGTTCCTTGAACAGCACTATGTGGGATAGTAGGAGTATGTATAGTTATCGGGAACCTAATACAATCACCCTCATCACCTGTGGTCTCTTTCAACCCCAAAATTCTGAATTTTGGACATTAAACCTGGGACTTAGAACCTGAAACCCTAAGCCCTGAACCCTAAACCTGAAAACCCGAAGCCCAAGAAATCCCACGTCAAGCTCAGTACCGCGCACTTCTTCCCAGGACTTGCGGAGTAGTCGGGCCCCAAATGGGTAACCCAAAGATGTATTAGGAGGGATATTCTTGGAATATTCTAAGCCGGGTAAGAACATACCTATTCTGCTCCTACTACGTATATCCTTGGATTCCTTGGTTTTGCTTTTAGTCGTTAATGGCAAATTGAGAATTAAATGGGGAACTGGGCGTTTGCAGGACATAACGTTGAGGGTTAACTTATTAACTCGCTCTTGCCAGTTCACAGGATGAACATATGCTACTCTAGGTACCCGTTCCTCCATTCCAGAACTCTAAATAGTACAGCTGCCATTTTCTGTTGCTTTCTCCTTAAATCCTAAACCCTAAACCCAAGCTGCAAAATAAAAGCCACGAATCGGGTTGGCCAAAACTGCGGAACAGTAGAGGATGACCAAAGGCGCCTCAGTTTAAGGCTCCGTGCTTCACTAGACCTCCCGGACTGTTTAGGGTTTAGGTCTTTCGGACTCTGAGTCTTCTGCTTAACTATACCTTCCAGATGCCCCCCGAGACCCGAAATCCTAAAGAGCAGTAACGAAGGGCCTGAGGGAGTTCCCACGGCTTAGGATTCTTGAGCATAAGCGTTTCCAAAAACAGTGTTACTTGCTTGGGGGTTCTCCTTAGATAACATTGAGCCATTTGTGGGTTTGTAATGGGGAACCCGCATGTTTGGAAACATCCCGATAAGCTTTAGGACGACGGGGCGTTACCGTCAAACGGGTTCTACTCCCAAAGCTAGGGAATTCACCGGCAGCCACTTTGATCCCAAATACCATTTCGCCGCACGCATCGCACGGAAGGCACGCGCCTGACCCCGGAGAGGGAATCCAGCTTCAAGCACGACGTGTACAAACCAACCACTGGTTTGCCGGTAATGAACCTTCATTAAGTTGCTACACTATGGAAACCCTATTGCTTACTATATGCCCATATCATGGCAACTCAACTTACATAAGTTTAGCAGCAAACCAGATAGTTTACCCCTAGTAGTCCAAGCTGGAAAGCGCTGGAACATCGTCACCATGTCCATGATGATCTTAGCCCACATTGCCCTAGGATGAAAAAGGGATCCTTTTTACATACACATAAGGAATCCCATACCCCGAACAAGTTTAACATTGATCCAGTGATGAGGACTTTGACCTGGGGCAAGCTACTTGCAAGACAACACTTTAACAACCACATGAACTTTAGTTTAAACTCCTTAGAGGGGGTCATATATGGATTATATTATTGGGCAATATAATAGGGTTTACTGAGGGGGTTACTTGGAGTTTAGACTACAGCTCACATGAGTGGCCGTTGTTCGATGACTGAATTCCGGCATTTTTCTTTTCCAACATACAGGAAATCCTACTCTGCATTGGGGACTGCAATATCCCCAAATACAATACAATTCACCGTCGTCGTCAAACTTGTCAAAGGCGACCACCAAGCAGTAAATCGCCCGAAGATAGGGCCTCAGGGGCCCCTCAGCTGTGTCCATACTTCCTGTCCAGCACACCAGCACGGACACGTAGGCAGTGAGTAATCACTGCTTTGTCATAGTGCTGCGGGTGCTGCTGTTGCTGCTTGTTGCCTCGACGCGGCCAGCGTGGCCAACCGAGGCGTTGCTGTAGAGAATCATTAGGTTTGCGGGGTCTGTTCACCTCAAAATAACGGCAGTGCCAGAGAAGATGCTCAGTTGTAGGAATCTGCTCGCCGCAGAAGTCGCACAGGCTGCCGTCTCTTGAAATTGTTGCTGGGCTTGCAAAAGCACCCGAAAGAAAACCAAAAGCGGCAGTGCTTGCCCAGGCCTCGGCCCGAGCGAGTTTACATCTGCCCTCGTCGTGCTGCTGGGCTGCGCATGTAGCAGCGTCATTACGGCTAGACGCGATCCAGCGCCGCCAACCAGTCAACCTCCATGCCTCATGCAGTAAGTGGCAGAGATGCTCTTTACCGCGGTACATGTGTGATCTCTTGCAAAGTAAAAGGATTTGCCAATCCATCATGGCGCCAGGTCCAGGACTGCCGCGGGCATCTGCTCCACCCTTGCAACTGTAAGGACGTGTTTATATTTGCAGGCCATCCAGAAGCAGTGTTCCATTCACAAGGCTGCCCGTCCGGGAGTTTGTCTGCACATCGCTTTGCCGCCAAAACATTGGTCTCCAAAATGCGATAGTCCAAGTCCAGACGATGACCACGAAGGATGCTGCGTAGGTGGACACACGCACATACAGGTTCACCCAAAGCTCGTCTGATGCAGATGCCAAAATCAGAGATCTGTTTTCGTGTAGGCAACTTGAATAGCCATCCAAATTCTGCTTCTGCAATCGGCGTGGCTGCAATGATTGCCCTTTTTCGGGCAATTTCGACGGGCAAGAACGCAGCTCTGAGTACCAACTGCATGCTCTTTTGGAGCCTGTCATCCTCCTTGGGTACATTTTTGCGGTGCTTGCGACCTTTGAAAACAGATCCAAGCAAGCACGGCGCCTTTGTCACATGCTCCTCCCTGATGCCCTTTAGCAAAAGATTGCGTCTGTGCTTTGCAGTAGCTGCGAAAAATTGAGTCTTTTTGCTAGACTCGACCAGCCCCATTGTGTCAGACCAAGAGTTCCATTCTCGCATGATCTGGGCTGACTCAAATGCGGTAGTAGCTGACCAACTGCGATCGTCAACGAAATTGCGAAAAATTGCTGTAGGGTGATTGTTGCTGATGTTGCGCGTAGGAACTTTCAAGACAGACACCAAGGCCGCCAAGCTAAAGGGATCTCCCTGAGGGAGGCTCTATCGTACGGCAACGGGATCAGGAAGAATGCAGTGCTCAAAGCATAGCCATCGTTCCTGTCGCGACCAAGCGCCCCACAATGCATCTGCAATCCCGCTAGGAAGGCCCAATCGACGCAATAGGCCAACTGCAAATTCCGGAGAACAGTGATCATAAGCCAAGCTAGAGTCCAGACTGGCAACGTATTCTTGTCTGGCTGCAGCAGCCGCGAGAGGGGATAGTGCTTCGAATATCTCACCTCCAGCTCGTCCCCTAATAGCCTCTGTAGGCCACCAGGAAGACAGCCAACGCTGAGCGGCTTCTGATCTGAGTCTGCTGCTTGCCCAAATCCTGTAAAAGGATGAAGAAACGGAAAGTGGCCGAAGGTCACCAACATCACAAAACACCATCAACAGTGCGTAGCTTGGATGGCTTCGGGCTGTGAACTTGCTTCAGCTGTCTCCAATTGTTGGGGGTCTTGCCTGAGGTTTCAACGAGTTCGATAAAATCGGAGAATAGCTGCCAGTGTTTGGGCGGTATGGAAGCAACCTCATCGCCAGACCAACCATCCATACCTGATGCTTTGCCTCGCAGCTTGACCGCTGCAGTAGCGCATTCGAGGCTGGACAACTTCGGCCAGGTATCTGTGGTCTGTCTGTCAAACTCGTCGTCGTTTTGTACATGTTGCCAAACATTGCTAAAATCAGTAGGCTCTCGATCCGAAACTCGCACCCAATGTCTGCGAATCAGCAAAAGCGCTTCTGAGACCAAAGTGACCAGTTCAAGTACTCCCACGGTTTCAGAGACGAGGCCCTTAAAGACTTGCGGCGCGCCTCGCTTCAACCACTTATAGCATTGAGTATTGCTTGCACGCAACTTGGCCTTCCACTTGCCAAGCCGATGCTGCTTCTCTTGCTGCTGCTCTTTTTGTAGTAGCCGTTCAACACAATTCCCATTACCTAGCCGACAGACGTACAAACAACTTCTCCACGTCGTTGCTACAGTTATTTTTGGACTGGGTTGCTGTAGAAGAACATAAATTAAGTTACCACGAATATGGATATAGCAACTAAAAAGGCTTCCTTATTATAGTAGCCCTAAACCCTAATTACAATTTTTTTATCATTACTACTACTATTATTAAAGAAATGGACTCTGCGTTCTTTAGCAGCTGCCCTTGGAGGTCACGTCTCCTCCGCGTCTCAGACGCAGCATGTCTAAGCAAACCCTCGTAGACCCGCCCCTGTTTTCCTTGCCCCTATCTCCGGTTTTGGCCAACGGTTTAATGTTTTAGGGTTTCGGGTGTTAACCTTACCAACCCTCCAATCAAGCAAGGAAATAAGCAAAGACTTTGGCGAAGCCAGCCACGAACGTCTCAACCCCAAAGCTTTTGTCCCACTTGCGGTGGGGATTTCCTTCATCCCTAATACACATATGACCCTACAGTCCCTTAAGTCTGACATCCCGAAGCCACGGAACTCATACAGCATTATAGCAGCACAGCCCTCGATGCGGACCCCAAACCAAGAGCAGCCATTGACCCTGAACTGCACCCTCAAACCACAACCTTACACCTTCCAAAGTATCATCCGACTTGCGCCCGAAACCAAAGCCCCAAGGGCTCCAAATCAGCCAAAGTAAGCACTACCCACAGGTCTTAGGACCGAAAGCAAGTAAGATTTACAGGCGTAGAGCCCCAGTTTTAGGGTTCAGGGTTTAAGGTTTCCTAAATAAATCCTTCGTAACCCATATAATAGCCCCTTAGAGTCCCAGTTTTAGGATTGAGGGTCTAGGGTAGGCAAGCAGACTTAAGACAGCCAAAGGAACTGACATGACGAGGAGGAAGAGGTTGGCTCCAGAAAGGATGCCAACCTCAGCTTACCGGTTGGGGGGGGATTAGTAAGGAAAAAGGGGGGTGTTAAGGCCTAAGGTAGCGAATAAGGGAATATAAAATATACAATTAAGGAAGGGTTTCGGGTCTAGGGTAGGAAGGGAATGTATCAAGTAGGGATTGAATTGCTGTATCTCAGCCTTAGAACCAGGAAGTTAGGCATTCTATCCACACGGTGCACAGGATTACGGTTTATGCTTAATGTAGGGTTCGGGATTGTTAAGGATTTAGCACTTGGGGTTCAGGGTTTAAGTTTTTTCTCTGCTTGCTGCTTAGGAATTCGGAGTATCAGTTTCGCTAGTTTTTTGTTTGCTAAAAAGGGTCATGTATCGGCATTACAAAGGATATTCCACCCCCCCACTCCCCCCGCATCCTGGCATTATAGGTGGGTCTGCACGGGGGGCACAACCGGAAAGATACAATATTCTCCATTTCACGCGGTTTTGGTGTCTAGGATTTATAGGGTTTTGGTTGAGGGTGTAAGGCCTGAAGTCGGATAGACTGGCTCGGAGGATATTATACCTTCAGGGACCCTGGCGACAGGTAACGTTTTGTATATCCCCCTGTATGAGCCACCATATGGAACTGTAATTAACCCCTTGCTAACCCTATACCCTAAACCCCGAACCCTAAACCCTAAACCCCAAAACCTAACCCCAAATCCTGAACCAGTATGATGGTAATCCCAGGTCTGGTTGTCTTACTAGGGCGGATCTACTTGATGTCTCTGCATGTGCGACAGCATGGGCTCCGTGACATGTATCTCGCAGGTATCTCCAAAGCTTCACTGACTCCGCAAAAAGACTAAGGCCTGGACCCTCTACAGTTATTCTTACTTCTGTTGCGCGGGGAGTGAAGGAATGGGATGGAAGCCGTTGTCTATACTCCTAGTATCCCACTTAATAGCCCCCATAATACTCCCCTATATAATCCCTTATACACCCTTAAGGACTTTAGACCCTAAACCCTAAACCCTATATAACCCACTTCAATGAGTTTACACTTTATAGCTCATACAGTGACTATTCATACTGGACAATTCTGGGGATCTCTTCTTCGATTCCTTACTAACCAGACCTTTGGGAGAATCTAGATGAAAGAAGAACCCAGTAGAACCCCCAATATGGAATCCTGTACTACTATTGGGTAATCGCTAGGAACCCTTAAGGGGGATCTACATTGTCTAGATCCATCTAGGGGTCCGGATAACCATTGGTTCTGGATGCTCAAGGTTTACGGGTTAATGTTATGCCCCGAATCCTTTATTCCCTGCTCACCAGCGGTAAGTTGGAGAATTGTGCCAGATTTTCAACTCCATGACTTATAGTATACCTAGTAAGTGGGTTCTGTTCTTTCAGCACCTCAGCAACCCAACTTGTTCTTGACAAAGGACTGGGAGCTTTAATGCAGCGAACGTGGAGATGAGAGGGGGAGTTGCCAATAATTGGTGCTCGCCTTTTTGCAGTACCTTGAATTTAAATGTCTATGTGACCTTGTTTATGGCAACCCCCTATGTCTGGGAGGAACTCAGAATCTGGATCCTGGTCATTCTTGAGAATATTCCGCACCCGAAGCTGTCCTCTAGAGCATGGCAATGAATCTCTCTCCCTCCAAGTGGGCCAGTCATATACTTATTGAGATACAAGCACTTTGCCTGCTGAGCCCTAAACCCAAAACCCTTGAAAAGGTGGCTCATGCTTAGGTCTGCTACAGCAGTCCCTATCCTCTCTAAAGAGAACCTGACAACAGTCAACCGAATGGAAGGCACAGAAGCAGGGACTTCAGAAAAGCTAGCAGAAGAGCCTGTAGAATCCTTGCAAGCCCGTTTTTCATAGACAGCTTAGGGTTTACAAGGTCTAGGGCTTTAGGGTTGAGGGTGAGCTGGGTGGCGCATGAATCTATGAGGTTGTTATGGAGCTTTCAAAATCTACCCCCCCCTCCCCCGCGCCCGAACAGATGAAGTCCGTATGGGGGACTGTTATAGTTCTTACTAGTTGCCCGCAGGGAATCATGACAGGATCCCTACAGCTATAGCAGCCCCCCGATAGTCCCACAACCAATTTGCTGTTTTCCACACTTACTTCATTCTCTATCCAAAATGAAAAGCCCTAGTGGTAGTTTCCATGTCCTTGACCGTGGGCTTCCCTACACCCTAAACCCTAAGTCCTGTATTCTCTAAAAGTTTTATTAACCCTTCCTCCTGTAATCCCCTCTCCCTTAAATTAACCCACCCAATATTACTAAGAAATATAATATATAATATACCATGGGGAAGATTTGATATGCAGGGGGATGCGGGATAATTTTAGGCGGAGGGGATTAGTCATCAGGACCCTAAACCCTAAACCCCTAAGCCCTAAACCCCTAAACCCTAATTCCTAAACTCCTAAACCCTAATTCCTGTATTCCCTACTGACCTGCAAGGCACGGCCAAGGGGCCAGAACTGGGAACCACCACGCCGCTGCAAAGGCTTTCAACTTCACCTGTTTTAGGTTAGAAGATTTGTGAAGACGTGGTGTAGGGTTTAGGGTTTAGGGTTCAGGGTTTGGATGATGTGGGGGTTTCCCAGAGTTAGGGGTACCATTTTAGGGGTCCCAATAATAAGGAGTATAGAATTTGGGGTTTAGATTGGGGTCCCTCTATTTTTGGAAAGTACCATTTCTGAAGACGTGGTGTAGGGTTTAGAGTCTGGGGTTTAGGCGGCTGTTTAGGGATGCGGGTTTAGGGTTCAGGGTTGGGAGTTGGGGGGTAGATCCCTATGATAATCCACTCCCCCCGTCGCGCCGGTAAATAGATTGGGGTTCCCTTCTGTGGGCTTCTTGACCCAGTCATTTCGGGGATGAGCCTTTTTGTTGAGCTGTTTGCTGAGAGGGTCTCGATGATGGCGGGTGCAACGCAGCATTCAATTTGCAGTTTGTAAGCTCTCTCTTCGTCACAGCGGAGAAATTATGAGCTGGTCTTTCCCTGAGCTGGTCCCATGCCCTAAGAATAAAGGTGCCCAAGTACTTGTCACAGCTTCAGGTACTAAATCCTGAAGTTCTCCATGGCTTGTGGATGCATGTGGTACAGGAACCTTATCCCTGGTTTCTTACTGGCTCTTAGTAGGGAATAAGGGAATATCATCCCTACATCATCCCCGTATCATATATTTCTTATTCCCTACTATAAGAAGTACCAAATTGTTGGAGACTTGGACTCCGTCCCGCTTGAGATCTGTGTGGAGCATCTTTGCCCGAGGCTGTATTGCATAGATTCCCCCTTAAAAACCGGGCTTCTGCTCTGGGACAAGTCGTCAGACAGGATCAGGATAAGCCCTAAAGCCCACAATCTTTGGAGGGCGTTTTGTGTTGAGCTTATGCGGGGGCTTGCAAAACATTAGGGGCCTTTTTGGGGGCCCACCGCACAATAAGGATTGAACTGTCCCATATACGGATGTATATTGGGTTCCTCCTTTCCTTGAAGCTACTAGCATGTTACAAGATGACACATTGCTGTAGTTCTGTCTTCGGGTCCGTTTTTGCTTGGTTTCTCGTTTCTCAAGAGCTCCTGCGTACCTCAGCAGTAGAATTGGGCCACTCTCACTGAAGCCTCTTTCCCCCGATCTCCCCACATTCCACAAAATACGCTAAGAAGGATACTAAAAATCCTGCATGACCCTAAGTACCTTATACCTAGGGAATAATGGTAATATAGTACTCTACGATCATGCAGGACTTTTAGTATCAACAGTATCACATGCAGGCCAGCCGCTAAACCATCTTTTAGAGCCATGGTTCGCTTCTTCCTGCGTTCGGGCTTGCTTAGGGTTTAGGGTGAATTGTTGATGATTATTGCGGATATGCCCTATGATCCAAGCCTATTACGAACACCTACATAGGGCTGAAAAGTCTACATTTTTTGCCTACATTGTGCTATGTGGATCCTTAGGGGTTAGACAACCGTAAGGAATTAGAATCGGGTTTTGGAACGGATTGTGCTATGGTTTTACAATGTTTGTTAATCGGGAATGCTATTGGCAACCATCAGGCTGCTGCACTACATAGGTTTGGGGTTGGGAGAAAGACACGCACTTTGGAATAGAATCGATGCAGTCGCCGCCTGACGGCGAAAGTCCTGCCCATGCCTTCACGTAGGGGATCAATCTCGTGCCCGGTTGGCCTTAGAGCCCCTTGAAAATGCGGAATATGGCCCTTATGATATTTGATCTCAATGACAGAATGTGTTTTAAATGCTCCACCGGCCCAAAGGCCAACCCAGCGAAATCGCGACTAGGCCCTCGCAGTCGGAACATTACAAAAACAGGCTTTATCTTCCTTACCGTACAGCAGAAAACCCTCTCATCAAAGAATCCAAGCTACAAGCGACAAACAACAAATGCTTTCACCGTCATCCTCAGGCTCTACCCTAAACCCTCAACCGTAGCCTGTTGGGGGTTCCTCCCAAGAGTTGGAATCCTTTTTGTTCGGGCAGAGGTCAGTCGGGAACCAGGAATGCATGTTGGCATCACTTGAAACTCGGTAGGCGTATAGCAAACCTCTCATGCCATCCTTAACTTAAGCACAGGTAGAAGAGACTATAGGATGACACTGGGGTGTTACCGTATTCGTTGGTACCCTAAACCTTATAAAACACGACCTCCGACCACTTAGAGACAACTTACGCAGACTGCCTCAAGGATGGAATCATCCTCCCCGTACGAAGTCCAAGGCTTCTGGGCTAGGAGTTGAGTGTTGGGTGGTTTAGGGCTCAGGGGTTTACCTGTTGGAAATTTGGGGGAGAAAAAAGCACCCCAAACCTTAAGTTCCACCTATAAGGCTCGAGCTCCAATTGTGTCATCCGGCAACCGGGAAGGCGATCTATCTAGCATTCTCGATCTGACTCGTCAGGGCCACATTGAGCAGCCGTGAAAAAGCCACAAAGGCTAAAGCAGCCTGAACACAAGGGTCCATAGACCTGCAGGCACGGTATATACCTGGGCCATAAAATGTTCAAACAGGGCCCCCCTCGAAGCATCAACCATGTACTTGTGATTCTTAGTAGGGAGCGAGGAATGGATCCCTACAGTAGCCTTCATTTTATCCCACATGCTCTAGGGTAGTTTTCCTTTTCTTTTCTAATCCTTTCTTCCCTACTAACCTTGAACCCCAAACCCTAAACCCGATTAAAATCCAGTACGTAGGGTAAACCCTTAACTCCAAAACCCTAAACGCTAAACCCTAAACCCTAAAACCCTGAACCCTAAAACCCTGAACCCTAAAACCCTAAGCCGCCCCTCCTCGAAACGCCAGCCGCTTCCTACCCCGCTCGCTGCGGAGCAACTTTGAGCCCACAAGGCGACGGGTTTAGGGTTTAGGGTCTAGGATGCAGGGTTAAGAGTTTAGGGCTTAGGGTTCAGGGATTTAGGGTTTAGGGTTTGGGGTCTAGGGTTTAGGGTTGCTGGGGCTGTTGTTACGCAACTTGAACTTGTTACCATACTGTGGGTATGTAGTAAGTAAGAGGGTTTCCTTGTTATAGTGCCTTGCTTTGCGTGGTTGAGGTGGTAGCTTTAGGGTTTTAGGGTTTAGGGCTTCAGGTGTTTAGGGCTTTAGGGCTTGAGGGTTTAGGGTTCACTGGGTTGCTGTTATGGAGCTTAATAGCATAACATGGGTACATTGTAGATAACTTAGCCCACATTACCCTAGGAAGAAAAAAGGATCCTTTTTACATAAATATAAGTAATCCCATATCCCAAAAAGTATAAGGATCCCTAACATTGATCCAGATAATAGGGTTTCCCTCTTAAGTTCCTTAACAGCAGCCCACACCATGCTTGGGATTCCATTTCAGGCTTAGGCTTCAGAGTTGGAGGCTGAGACTAGAGGGACCCCTTGACATGTGAGCTAGAGTCTAAACTCCTTAAAGGGGGGTTATGTGGGGGATGATATAAGGGATTACTATAGGAGTTATTCAGGGGGATACTAGGAGTTTAGACTATAGCTCATGTAGACCCCTTGCGTGAGGTCCTGTTGGGGGAACTAAATGGAAGACAAAACGGTTCTGGATATTCCTAACCTAGCCCTGAAAGACAATGCGCGGCTGTCCCTTACACACGTGGCTCCCTCACCGAGGTTTCACTGAGAAAGGCAAGGGTTTAGGGTTTAAGGGTTTAGGGTTTGGACACCTGGCTCTATGACCAGCAGCTACAAGCAAAGCTTCATACATACATCTCGCAGCAAGCGTGAATAAGCAAAAGCTGGCATGTTCTCTCCTTCATATCAGCAAACCCCTCTGGTACCTACATAATCTACAATCTGATTAGCCCCCCAAACCCCTAAGGCACTCGGGCCCTTAGAGCTTCATCCAGGGCTGCTCTTGCATCCAATGCTTTCTGATTCAACTTGCGGGGTGTTGGCGTCACCAATCTTCTGTACTCTAAGGGTCCATATAACTGTAGAAATATCTACCTGGGCCCTGAAGTAAGTATATGGGGACCCCAAACCCTACACCTCTCTGGGCCCCAAGTATATACTTGATATCTACATGGACTTTTGGGCTGCTTTGAACTACACCCTAAATCCTAAGCCGCGTTACATGTGCAGATCCCTAGGCAAGCACATCGCGCCTTCCGAACGTTGACCAAAGGAGCTCCTGCCAAGGCATGCGCATACTGATAGAGACAACTTTGCACCACCTCATATACCATAATTACATCCCAACAACTGAAGTTATCTTGGATGATTTTGGGGCAGAGAAAACTTTACACCACCCTACATACCTTAAGTATACCCCGATATCTGAGGTAGTTTTGGGGCGTTTGGCCAATAGTTACAGTAGCGTGGGGCTCATAAGTGGAGCAGGCGTTCCTCCATTCACAGTATGGGCTACGCGGCGCCGCATGTACAAGTTGCAAGACAGGAGTCTCTTTGAGCAATGATTTGGGTTTAGGGTTGAAGTTTCTTTAATGCTTGTTGGGGCAAGCTACTGCATAGTTCTACGAGCCCTGGGAAATCCTTCCAGAATGCATTGCCGACTCTAGCAGATTTCGCATCAACAATCTTGTCCTTCCTTTACCAGAAGGAGTACCCTTACTGATCCTACAAAAATGAGATGCACGAATTGGAGATCCGGGGAGGTCTGGCACAAGGGTCATGCTGTGGCTCCTTTGATGACCACACGGATGTGTAGGCATTCTCATGTTTGATGATGAGGATGATTGCTGTTACTGGCTCAGAAGCCACATCCCCTCCTCTCAACTCATAGCTGTGCCGTGATCAGGCCACTTGTAAGACAAACAATTATTCAGCAGCAACCGCATTAAGCAACAGGTTTCAGACATAGGTTAGCTTCAAAGTTTGAAGCTATTTCGGTTCCTGGCATAGGTTTAGGTCTTACTGAATCCTGAACCCTACACTTTTCACCGCAACCCCACGAAGTCCTTTCTTTATATCCAGGTCGCAGGTCTGCTTGGACCAGTAAAGCTTCAGGACCTTCAAGTTCAGGGTTTACGGCTCCAGGAGTCACCTTAGACCTATAAAAAGATGCATTTTCAATAATGCCTTGGGTGTGTGTATAAAAACTCTAAACCCGATAGTCCCCCTTCAGTAGATAGAACATGGGGTATATGGGGAGCTTATTATAATATTCTATCTACGTAAGGGGGTCTGTAAACCCTAAACTACAGGCTGAGGGTTCGAGGTAGAATTCGGGATGGCTTCGGCACTTGCCTGACCCATGGCTAGCCGTTTGGGCAGCTGTAGGGGGGTGCAGAATGTCTGGCGCCAAGGGGAATGACTTGATATGGTAGTTTTCCTAAATGGGGGGGCTTCTCAATATAAACCCCCATATACTTGAGTTCTTATTGTAGGGACCCCTAAAATGGTACCCCTAATTTTGGGAAACTACCATATTAAAACGTTATCCATGGGTGGGCGCAGCTGCAGATTGCAGGTTGTGAAGAACCGTCAACTCGGAGAATTCTGGAACCGTGCTATTCTTGTTTATATTTTAGGGGTTTAGGTTTAGGGCTTTGAATCACAAAATGAATGCTACCTCATGGCCCCTCCGCTTGAATGTTTTGTCGGTTGGACCAAGCAAGTTTGTACTCTCCTTGCAAAAGCCTGCAACAAAAAGGAGAACATAGTCTTACTCTATATTGGGAACTATCTGGCGGATAATTGCAGGAATTCGTGCGCCAGTTACGTAAGCCCCCGAAAGATTGCAATTCCCAAAGTATCGGGCGCAGGGTCCTCCACTTGTACAGTAGTATCCCTATGCCAGGTAAGGATCTTAAATCAGATTACCATATTATGGTTCGTCGTGGCGGTAACTTTCTTTTCGCTCCTGAACGGATGCCCCCCTCTTAACAATGTCTGTCGGGGGTCTAAGTATATCATTATCATATACTCCGAAAAGCCAAGGTGAGATCATCTTTATGAGGACCCCCAAGGCATATCATTATTGTCTACCGGGCCCTTCGGGTACTACCGCAACCCCAAATGTATGTAACATAACAGTCCAACGCACCTAAATATAGCACAAAGAGCCATTATTCTACATATTCTGGGGGTGTCTAAACCCTAAACCAAAAACCTTACACCCTAACCATTAGAGCAGCACTCACTTTCGCAAAGCCGGCCTTTGCCGGCAGCCACGACCTCAGATTTCTTCGCGCACCGGGGAGGGTTCGGGTTTGGGTGGGCTTAGGGTCGCAGATACGAAGGCTCTTTTTCACACCCTCAAACTGGAGCCCTTTCGCCCTTTTGATGACCTGTAGGACCTACTTTGGGGTTCTG